CTCGCCCACGGTCTCTAATTGCCCCCATCTTCGATCCAGAGTAAACGTAGTCACATATCGTACAAAAAGTGAATAAATAAAAAAAATGACTTAAACTATCTTACGGTCGTTCGATTTGCTAAGTCTCACACAAGCTGGTACGCCACGGATGGCACGGTGTCCTGTAAGCACGCGTTGTACGGCGAAAGGGAAGGCTGGTATCCCCAATCGTAGTTGGATACGTAATTGTTGTAACTTGGTGGCAAAACGACGAATCTGACGTTGGGCGGATAAGTCGTTTCTTGCAGGCTCGGGAGTTGATAAACTTGTGCTCCGGCTGCTGAGTTATACGACGCCAGGGCATCGTCGACGTTAGGAGCGACGTAGCCAGGATTCGAGCAGGAGCAACGGTAACCTCCGCTGGTCGCGACGTTGGGCGCCGTGTATGCTCCGCGATAACGACCCAAATGACTCGTTGTGATTATTTTCGTCTTGTGGTGATGGTGGTGCGAGCCCACCAGCTCGTCGTCCGCGTTATACATAGCCTGCGTGGTATCCTGAAAACGGAGACGGACGTGTCCATTACTACGTATCGATTAGGAGTCGTCGCCAATGCTAATCGACTTTCTGTCACACGACAGTCTTGTCGATGTGACGAGAGCAACGTTCATTTAAATATTAAATAACTAATTAAGAGTTTACGATTCGCTCGATGCAGATCGATAAGGTCTACTTACAGGTGTTTGAGGTTCGGTAGGGCCGTTTGGCGTCTCTGGTCTCGGCGATCGAAGAGGAGCAGATGGTGGTCTAGGATCAGGGAAGTTTCTCTGTTGATTTGCGACGATGTTCTGCGTCAATCCACTCTGCTGTTGTTGCTGTGCGTCAAGACGTTGCACCGATATGGAATTTTTATAGTCTCCGCGGTTCGTATTAGGATAGATCTGCTGTGACGGAGGTGTAACCAGATTCTGCGTTTGCTCCTGCGATGTTGCTCGAGAATTCACTTGGGGCGATACTTGTGGTTGTGTCTGTTCGTTGATGATTTGATAACGAGGGTTGAAGGGTTCAGAGTATTGATGATATCCAGGGTGCAGGTTTGATGGATTCAGACCGAACAGGGTAGAACCTTGATTCTGTTGGCTATGGCGAACATCCACGCGTTTGTCTGTTGAAAAAAGTCACGTTAGATCTCGGTCAAAATCAGGATTAATGTAAATAAGAATATTCTTGGGTCGAGCATTCATTTCGTTTAATTAGATCGCGTTTGTATGCTTTGCCTGATCATCGCCCGATAAGAAAATATTAAAGAAGCTTACCATTAATATATTTTTATCTGGCGATGTTAATTCTTTTTTATCTGATCTTAAATCTACACTCCAGTGTTTACGTTATTCCAGTTTCTAATTAAATTTAATGTGCATTCTTGGCGGTAATTCAAGCATTTATTTTATCCAGTTAGAATTAGTTTGTACAGAAATTTGATCTTACCATCGAGGTTTTTCGTAACTTCTCCGTTCTGACTTTGCAAATCGACGACCGGAGGGACATTTTCGTTTAGGGTCGACTTCGTGGCCACACCCACTTTTGTGCGTTTCTCGGTGTTTGACCCAGGACTGGATTCGTCGGTGACAGACCTCCTGAGACGACTATGTACTGCCTAAGAGAAGTGGTTTGTTAATCGATTATCGTTATCCCTGTAGCATCAAAAATAATTTTTCATTCAGTATACGTCGAATTTCTGTTCAGTTGCGCCGATTTAAGAATTTCATTTTTGTCCTCTACATGTTTGAAAGAGTTTCACTTCTTTATTCGGAGATGAAGAACTTTTTATTACTCTGAAATACCCATTGCATACATTCTTCAAAATCACGAATAAGATAGGTGACTCTACCATAAGCAACGAACATTTTTACCAAGTTTTATTTTAGGTACATCTATTGTTTTTAAAATACTCTCAAATAAAATTAGAATGGTCACGTCGAATTCAATTATGCGACACTTACCAAAGGAACGTATTGAGCTGGAATGGCTCCAGATATTCCCTCGAATCCACGGCCACTGAATTGGCTACCAAGTAAACGTTTGTAAGCCTTGGACGAGTACGTCATCTGAGGTTGCATGGGCGAGTACGACAGTCCATTGTCAGGCTGGTGCAAATTGCCATACACTGGATGAAGCTCCACGTGATAACCATGGTCTATCGGTTGATGTTGTATCTCAGAGGTGCGTTGATGAATTCCCATAGGTTGCATTGGTCCAAGTTGTTGCTGTTGTAACTGCAAGCGTGGTTGTCCGTAACCTGGTTGCACCAGAACGTCAGCAACAGCATTGCTGACTACGAGTATGGCCGCTGAAATCTAATGCATAACATTTCCCAAAAAGTTTCAATAACTTCTGCAACGTGCAGCAAAACTTCCACAGCAAGTTAAAGTACCTGGACAGGGTACTTTCGAGCTGTCAATATTCAATCCTTTATCATTTATCGAAAATGTTCTCAGAGGACTGAGAACTTTGAGAAGAGTTATTTATAGGAATATTCTTAAAATTGAGGTTCAAGGTAGAAAATGATTAATTGATGGTTCGTAGTTCTTTTCTTTAAGATTAAAGTCGAAGCAGTATTAAATTAAAGTTCAGATTTTCAAAGACTCACCAACGTCCGCTGCATCATCGTTTGTTTCACTTGTTTCGTTTGTTGTTAGCCGTTGAAAAGTTCAATCGAAACTGCGAGTCGCAGGTCCGAGCGCTTGTAAATTAATCCAAGCACCTGCTGATGCCACAAAATTTCGCGATGCACGCACCAGCCAAATGTGGCAATTTACGAATTCTTGTGATTGCCTATTCAGGTCGGCCTTTACGCGTTTCAGCGAATTCTTTCCCGTATTCTAGCATCTTTTATTTTTATATCGCGCTCACTGCGATGTCGCAATATTCGCCTGGGCGAAAAAACACGATTCATCCGAGGATTTCTTCGAGGTAGCTTTTTCCCTGGTCGTATTTTATCTTATCTGCGGAACTCTATTCATAATTCACGACCTTGCGATCAGGAACCGCTTCCGAGCAAACTTCTATAATGATTTTTCTCGGTTTCGCGATCCCTGAGCTTTCTTGGGGTCATTTGCACCTCGTTTCCACAGAACCTAAATTTCCAGAGGGATACAAAGCAGTAGATTTAGAGGATTGTTCGAAGTAAGGGCTCGTCGTATTGTTTCATTTTTAATATAATTTTGGAAACACCATTCTTCGACTCCTAAAAGACAATTTTACCTAAATTCTTACTTGATTCTTACCTGAACCGCTGGATCCATGACTTATATCATGGTTGTTCATATACAGTCAGTCCCATAAGTTACCCATATTCGTACCCTCTATATTTATTAAAGAAATTTGTCTAAATTAAGTGATAGGTTTGATGTTTTCAAATAAATGTTCCATTATAATTCTATACATGTCTAAAGTTTATTTCTGTACATATATGTATATATATATATATATATATATATATATATATATATATATATTTATATATATATAGTGAAAAATTTGTTTGAAAACATCACGCCTGGCATTCAATTTAGACAAATTTCTTCAATGAACATAAAGGGTATAAATGCTTACGAAACTGACTGTATAAATTTCGTTAACTTCTTACCTCACAACGTCGTATCAGAAACGTGGTAAGTCGATCGGTCCAAACATCAATAAAACGTATCAGAGACCTGAATGTCCCGACGGACCCAGTTATCGCTTATGAAACGAGTGATTGGAAATTAAATTGTAAGGCAAAGGATTAAAAATTAACATCTTTCGATAAACAGATTTTTCGTCTGAAATTATCAGACTGCCCTCTTGAATGTTCGTCAATTACGTTTGACCTACACTGTCGATGCTCCCCTAACGTCCTCCTTAATGACCGTAAAACCCCCTGGCGCGCTACCTCCCACGTTGAGAAACGTGATTTTAATCCAAAAAAATAAACTCGTCCGACCTTATCCGTTGCACTAGACACGAGTATGGGAATGCTAGGAATAGACTCGGAAATCGTTTGACGCGTACATGTACGGAAATAAGCGTGGATAATTTATTAGCTGCGGCTTAAATATTCACATTCGTGGAGTAGTTCAGTAGGAGAACGCTGGATCAACGTCCGAATCTATCCACCCAGTTCGCGTGGCAATCAGGGCATGTCAGCAGGGCCAGTGGCCTCGAAGTGCAACGAACTTGTAAAAGCAAGAATTTCGCGCGTTCCTTACGTGCATACCATTAGTCAGTTTCGCAATACCGCGGTATCGTTCGAACTTGATAATTCCAGCGAATCAGATCGCGTTACGCTGAATACAAGAATTATCGCCAAATTACAACAGAGGGGAACGATTGTAGTGTTTGGTTGCGTTCTCCATTCGCTGACCCGCATGTATGTGCGTTTCGTATAAATCGCGACGTCGCTGGAAAATTATTTTTGCAATTCTGTTAGAAACCTGGTTGCGAAATCGAACGACACCGTGGTCATCTTTAACTTATGCGCAACTGAAACCACTAATCCATTTTTCTTTTTGTTTTGCTCTTGCGTAACCAATTCCGATCAGAAAACGACACGTAGATATTGTCAGATGTAGTCTCAGAAACACCTAGACACTGGGTTATTATTAAACAATGTTGATTCACACTTGGCGATATGTTCCAATATGCAGTTGTCACGGTAACTCAGAGTTTCTTCAAATCTGTGTATTTGAGACCAGCGAAACGATGACTTAAACCGCCCCTAACTTTACGTGCTCTACAAAATTATTCAAGTTCATAACGTCTCTTGTACACAGAAGGTCATCGATTCGTCGATCAATGATCCATAAACGACCGCCGTCACGTAGAAGCCACCATCTACCCAACTCTTTGATCAAACACTGTAACACTACCCAAAGTACCCATTGACCTCTCTTTGTGTCCCGTTGTCAATGAACCCTCCATCGAATCCGTCGCGTCCAGAAGGTCGAGGCTGTAATTTCTCTGCTCTGGAAACTGTTCAGGTTGCGTATTCGGTACGTGATGCCGGCGGCGCATCTGACGCTGCGCGAGGAGGATGTGGTACGACTAACCTTGGAGTTCCTCCACAGCCGCGACCTTCACATCTCGCAGCTCTCGTTGGAACGGGAGACAGGTGTAATAAACGGTCAGTACAGCGACGATGTCCTCTTCCTTCGTCAGCTGATCCTCGACGGACAATGGGACGACGTGCTGGAGTTCATCCAGCCGTTGGAGGCGCTGCCCGATTTCGATATGAGAAAGTTCACTTACTCGATCCTACGCCACAAGTACGTGGAACTGCTCTGCATCAAGTCCGAGGCGAACGTGATCGCAGCTGGGACGAACGGTAGCGTGGACAACGCAGTCGAAGAGGTGGTGAAGGTTCTTAGCGATCTGGAGAAGGTCGCGCCTTCCAAGGAGGAGTACAGCAGCCTGTGTCTACTCTTGACGCTTCCAAGGCTCACGGACCACCTCCAGTACAAGGACTGGAACCCCAGCAACGCCAGGGTTCAGTGCTTCCGGGAGGTGCACCCTTTAGTGGAGAAGTTTCTCCCTGGGGACAGAAAGAGCTCCGATCCCGGTCATCCCGTCACCTCCGCGAAGAACGATCGGCTGATACAGCTGATCATCAAGGGCATCTTGTACGAGTCATGCGTTAATTACTGCCAGGCCAAAGCTACCGGTTCCAAGGAGAGCGAGCAGGTAAGACTTCAACTGTTGAAGCTTTATCAACGTCGGCTAGTTTACCGACTTGGATTCACGAGTATCAATCATATTTACACGGACCATTATCTCGATGTTTCGTTGGTTTGTTGCTGCCTCATCGCGTGCCTTCAGCGTATTTATAATGATCGCGTTTCCGTTTACCCTCCTGTAACTGGTTAATCGATTGAATTGTGCAACTGCTTTCAACGGGGTACGGACGCGTGCCAGGAACGTTCAGGGTGAAATGAAATGAAATATTTAAAAAAAATTTTATTTAACGTATATTCGATAAGGATACAGGGTGTTCGGCAACAGGTGTCTGAAAGTTTAACACGTTGATCACCACGTCACCCATATAGGGTGACAGTGCTTTTCACTGAAAAACTAAAAAAATTAATTCTGAAATTTAATTGTCATAGAAAATGAATTTCAATGAAATACTTAAATTTTGATGAAGTTACAAAACTAATTACCACAATAAATGTTTTATTTCGCAGTTTTCAATAGTCTGTAAACAAAATTTAATCGCAATAGAAATTTTCAATAGTATTAGCCTGGCAGTGAACGTGTCTGACCGTGAGGGGCTCATACTACTGCTCGTACTACTACTCAAGGCGGTGCCGTAGGTCCCTCACTGTCGACGTCCTTTATCCATACGTACAGCAATCATGTTGTTCATCATTTGAGCCGTTCATTACACAAATCGAATAACTTTCTAAACCAAAAAGTTGAGAAATGCAATGAAATAATGCACATTGTTTTTTAAAATTCCCTTTATAATATAAATTCAAATAAATATTCAGAAAAGTTCTTTCCTTCTCAGAAAAGTTGTTATAAATATAAAGAGTTATGACTGTACCAAGTGCTTTGATATGTAAATTTAAGATTTTTCAAAAAGTGGAGTTAGTCGATCGGAGTTTATCTCTTTTCTACACCTAGATTCATTTCGTTTCATCTGATTGCACACCCAAAGTACCTTATTTTATTTATCTATTTTATTGCTTCAAACCATGAATGTCTTATACAGCGTACAATAGTTGTGATAATTACAATTTATTTACATCAAATTCTTACATTGCAGTTACTGAGAAAGCTACGAATAATTTTTAATCCTTTAATATCCGCTTCACTCAAAAACGAGCTAATGCAATACGAAGGACGATATTCGTTAATGAGAAGCATATGAAACAGAACTCCACCTTGGTAATTGTATTCAAGGCAGTGGCAAATTTCTTCACAGGTGGAGATGAATTTCTCCAGACTGCTGGACGGCTCCGTGGGGTTCAGCGACTCCGACCTGAGCTTGCTCTCCTGGCTTCAGAGCATACCACCCGAAACCTTCGCCGTTCCCTTCGCGCAGCGTACCTTGAACGTGGACGTCGAGCGACTGGAGAGACCGTCCCTGGAGACCTCCTGGACGGAGCACATGTTGATCACTCCCATAAAGCCGAAGACGTTCCCTCACAGCGCGATGCCGTTCACCAGGCCGCGATCCGCGGCCGACATGATGTCGCGTAGCCTAGTGCCAGCCTTGGAAGCCGGCCTAGGACCCAGGAGTCCTGGACCTAAAAATACACCTATACCGTCAGCCGCGCTAATGGCGTTGTCCACGGGCGATATAAATCCCATGTCGAGATCGTCTTTCGCGAGCTTTCATCTGACCGGATTCAAGAACAACAAGCTGATGAACACCAGCGTGGACAGGCTGTTCGAGAACGAGGGCGACGTCTTCCTCAGCTCGAGCTACGCTGAGTTCCAGCAGTTGCCTTCCATCCAAGAGACCATCGCGAACAACAACCAGCCAAAGGCGCCGCCTAGGACCAGGGGGCAGTCAAAGAGCCCAGATGGTGAGCCATGTTCTGTTTTCATGGAATATTAACACATTGTTCACCGGCAATTTTACGTAGAAACGACTTCATGTTATCCGCTATCATTTCGTAATTTTTTGTACTACTGAACTACTGAGTGGTATAAACCTAAATACTGGGAAAAGTATATTCGACTGTTAAAAAGGAATCAAAAACCAACACAAGCAAAGCTTTTGTAATGTATATCGCTGTGGGTTTCATGAGTTAACTCGTAACCGGTCAGCAATGTGTTGAGATATTTCAGAGTAATTTTTGATTAGTTTTGATCTGTTTATCGAAATGAAGCAATGACTAACTCGATCATCGTCTATACTGTTCTTTCATTTATAATATCTTCGAGATCAGAGTAGATCAAAGACGTAGCTCAGACGTCAAGTACAAATTATTCTCTTTCGTAATCGTGTCATTTCCCCTATGTCAGACCCCCTATTGATATTGCAACCCTTACGCCTTTAACGTTACTCGTCCACCTTTTGACGAAGGTACTAAGGGAGACCCTTCCGCGACCTCTACGCCTGAACGTAGAGTGGCTGGCAGGGAATCCCCGGCACCATCGACGGCCAGGAGTTCTAGAAGGGATTCCTTGGCCGAGAAGCCGACGGGGGTCGCGGCAAAGATTACGGAACCCACGGCTGTACCTGCTCGAACCTCTCTGGGCGGCGAGCCGCTCGAGCAGAGTTACAACGGCGATCTGTTCAAAGAGTACCAGAAGCAGAAGCAGAGGCTGCAGGAGAAGTTCCAGCAGAGGGAAAGGGAATGGGACGACCTGGTCAGACAATTATCGACCCCGTTACCCGCGCAGGTGGTCGATAATAGACTCCAAGGTGACGGGTAAGTGAACGCTGCATTATTCGCGTGGATGGGCAATATTCTACTCTAATTACAGGATGAAAGTGATACATAGGGTGAATGAGGTTCTTTGAAGTGTAGTATTTGACAGAGATTGTCTCGTGCGCAGCTACCTTGCGCACGTGTGAAACACTTTGCGCATAGTGTATCTTAGAATTTTGTGTTTCGCGAGGATATAAGATAAAGGTCGAAGTTCTAATTTTTATTTAAGAAATAATATAAACAGTTGTTTATCTGCTATTGTATTCATGTATCTCTTATCTAAACGAGAATTTTGCCCATCTTCCATTGCCCGTAGTTTGCTTATCGAGGTACTTAGCTGTGATAAATGGTCACCGTGTAATTCGAGCGGTTTTGTGCGAGGAATCGTCATCGGTAAATGGTCGAGGAACGGAACAAAAGCGTATTGTTCGGGTCGTTTCGGTGCTCTGCTGTTCACAGGCCGGAGTACCGGCGATTATCAGTGCCAGTGCATTCGTAGGGAAATGGTACGCGATGCTTCGAATTAACTTTGGCTCGCTTCCCGGCGAGGCCACTCGAAGCGAGATAATCGTGATTCTAAGCAAATACGATATTGTTTTCCGGCACAAGTCGTCCCGCGGTTGTGCCGCGGAGTCAATCAAATTCGAGTGGTTGGCTACATTCTCTAACAGATGGCAGCAAGGGAATGCCTTTGTCGCGCTTATTATGGCACTAAAGCGCGCGTCGAGAATAACTCGTTCGGTCTAGACAGCAACGTTGGCGCCGATCGAAATAGCTACAACCGGCGGGAAACGCTAAAAAGAAAGTGAAACTATTTTGACGACTTGACAGTGACCCCGACAACTCGTCCCCCGGCAGTGGTCGTTTTAGCACATTCGTTTTTCTCCATTTGTTCAACCACTAATTGGTACCGTGTATTCGCAAAACGATGTTGGCACTGCGAGGTATTTCAATAGGCAGATATACACTGAGAAATTAGTTTTTATTTTACGCGCGTAATTGTATCTAATTTGAAAACTAAAGTATTCGTTTTGAACGAATATGAATATGAACGAAGTAAATAAGCGACGGAGTTCTGGTTTATTCTTTTTGCTTTTGCGGTATTATACAGGATTCTACGGTATAATGTATGAGTATTTATTCAATTCTTCGATAAGATGATTCTATCATTGGAATATGCGAGCCTCGCCAGGTGCATCAAGAAACATCGTGTTTGATGGGGATCATGTATCGTAATGATTGACACACCGTTTGAATGAAAAATTGGATAAAAATCTTACAATTGATGACATGGTCAATTATAAAAATAAACGTACATTGCACCGTGTTAACTGTTATTTTACTTACCGGACGAGCAAAACGTCTTCGCGTTCTCTCAATAGATGGCGTTTACCAACACTTTGCCCACGCGCTTAGAACAATAATTCTACCTGTGACAGGTGAGCTCAGAACGGCAATTGTAGCTGTTACATTTGTAGTAGGACTTGAATTTATTTATCAAAAAAAGGAATTCCTTCTGTGCAAACTTATCATCTTATTCATATTAATTTAATTTTCTTGATAAACGAAAAAGAAAGAACCTTCCCAATGTTCATTTTATAGAATTTAAGAATCACACTTTCCAAGCGTCTTTTGTTCTCCGTATAATTTTATATAATGGAAGAGAACAAAATCTCAGAAAATACGTATTTCGTAGTTTGATCTGTAGTTTAAATACACAAATTGTCGTGAAAATTGACTACCATTTTCCAATAAAAATATATTAATGGTAATATTTACATAATTTATAAAAATGAATTTTTCTGAAAACTATTATATACCGGATACTTTGTTCTTTTACGGACAACTAGCACCAGCCACGGATCCTGGATGTTGCGCCTACTAATCTAAATCTAATCTCATTTTACACTTTACACTGTACATTTTACACTTTACACTTTACACTTTTTATATCTAAAGATCTTATTATAACTTCGCAGCCATTAACTCGATATTATTCGCGACGAAGGACCGTTCGTTTCGAATTGAATATTTACAATCCATATAGTAACATTCAGTTTTCGATTAAATATTAATAAGAATCACGGTTCAGAATAAGTATTCATTGAATAGAGTAATCTTGAGAAACTTTCCTATACCGTTATATCTGTTAGCTGGATTAACTAAAAATTAATTTCTGACAATAGATGCATTAATTATTAACAATATTTGTTCAAGCAATGACCGAGAATATGACTTTGCTGTAATAGTACACCACGCGGACAGCGGTAGATGCTTTTTCTAAAAATGTTCAAAATCATTACTAACCAATAGGTAACTAGTTTTTGATTTCAGTCACCAACTAATTACGTTTCTTTTGAGTAACTTCGTGTGCGGACGGCCTAATAGTTTCCGAGATATTGGATCACATAAGTTTTGCCCCGATAGATCGCTAAAATATCACACTGTGCGTCGCTTCACAGAAAAGAATTCCATTTTTGCGCAAACTGCCGCGAGCTTTCGTTTGCTTTCTCCCTCGTCAAATATTAGTCTTCGGGCTTTGCGTGGGCGATTTTCTTGAAAGTAGCCTACCGTGCCCGCGTTCTGTTTTCCCACGACCACGTGCACCGACAGTTTCCCAGTGGACAAATCAGGAGCGGCGGGAAGTCATCCCTCGTGAACGTCGCGCGCATTCCTTTTCGCAAGCGAATAAACGGTCCCGGCTGTATCCTCGTAAACGTCGTGTAACGGGCTAAAATTACCGTCTCCCCGAGATGTCAAGTGCGATGTATCTTTTCTGCAAGGGCATATCGGCTGCATCCGGTGATAATAATGAAACCCGCCTCCGACTCGTCGACGTCGACGTTCTCTTGGTCCGATTCCATTCTACTCCGTTTCGCGTATTTAACCGCTAATCAAAGTCAGTCTCGGGAAGATATTCCATGATTTAGGAAGATAGGTAACTGATACTTGTGATTTTTATTTAGAGAACTATAATTTTGTTTGTATGTTCATTCGCCTCTGAAGCAGGCTCACAAATTTTTGTGTCAAAATAGCGTCGATATTCAAGAATCGATAGCCTCGAATTCCGAGTTTAATTAAATTCGTTTCTATGCGTAATAAAATATCTTTTATTTGTTGTAAAAATATTTAGAATCTCAAGTTACCAATGTATCAATATTTTTATTTTATTTTTGAAAATTCCTCCAAGGAAGGCAGTCGAAGTATATATTATTCATTTACCAAAGGACAACCAACTCTACTGGGTACAATCATTCCGATTGTACTAGTCCAGGTGATACATTATGCCGACGCACACCTGTTCACCTTCTCGCACGTCAGAAATCGCGGTTCCTTATCTTTTATCTACCGCAATAGTTTACAGGGTTTTGTAACCTAAATAACTTTCAATGACGTCGTTTGTTCGCGGTACATATTGGCGATTCAAAGAAATGAAAGTGGAATTCGAAGGAGGTTTATTGGCATCGACCGTTGACATTGTTCCGTGTCCGGAACCGGATATATCGGAATAGTACGTGCACGATTGTCGCTGGGGGGAAATCGTGACAGTGCGGGCTCGTCATTGGTCGTGTCTCATCGATGATTCTCGTCCCATGGATTCGATATGCATATTTATGGTCCCATTGTTCCATTCACACACGTACGTGCACATTTCTGGTATTGTGTGCGGCGTCTAGACTTATGAATTCTTATAATAATTCAGACAAGTGGTAAAAAAGCCAGCTGAAGGAAGACAAGGCAAAGATTTGCTCGGGTAAATAGCCATTGTCTCGCAAACGTTTGCAGAGTGATTTCGGTAGCTTTTGCTACCACAGTGAGAACAAGTAAGAACTGTTGGTAATTAAACTTTACTCTTTTTTACTCCTGACAGTAAATTCGTCATGAAAATTGCAAAATGTAAAATTATACGAAAGCTAAACTCATTTATTTAAGTTAAATTCTTTTGATCACCAACGTAAATGTTAGAATTGATTCATTTTGAAAAATTGTTAAGTAGTATTTTGTGCACATCTTTAAATACAAAGTGCGCCTGCCCATTTCAGTTTAGTTTAGAGGACCGATAACGACTTCTTGCTTTCGTCGTTGCTTCGAACCATAGGTGAGCGACGTTTAGCTCGCTCCGAGAGCCACAATAAAGCGTTTGCAACGTGACGAACCTGCGGTAGCTAACCTTGGTCTGTTACACGTGCGTATGCAAACGGAGTCGCGTTACAGAGGCCATCGTGGTCGAGCCATAAACGATGGATCCGTATGATGTTACTGCTGGATGCTGACGTCTGATTGAATTACTGTTAATGTTACCTGAGATTCGTATCTTCATTATCATATTTGTTCAATTCATTGTTCAGTGTTTCCTTCGTGAACGTTCATATTAACTTCATCATACATAATTACTTGTATTTTTTGAAAGATTATTCCACTATCAAAAACGATAACTGAGCAAAAACAGCATCATTCTCTTTCCACCTGTTTACATAACATTTATTATCCAAACTGGCCATGAAATTCATTGTTACGAAACTGACACAATGCCCGGCTTATCTGCGTCGTATCGCAGAAGAAATTCAATCGCGAGATCCTGTACTCCGGAGTCTTACTTTGCCTCATCGAGGACCCACGTTCAATTGACTCATCCATTAAGAGGATCGATTGACGTATCTGCGCGTAGATTAACTCCGACCGTTCGAGTGACGCGCGGAAAATCGATTCTGGTACTCGTGAGACATGAAAATCCCGAGATCAGAAAGAGCAAATTAACGGATACGTTGGAAAATATTTTTAGTTCGAGTACTCGACGAAATTGACTAAAAATAAATGAAAGATAAATGCAAAGTAATTGAAAATGAAACGTAATAGATTTTCAAGAAGAACGAATACAGTGTAGCTGAAGGTTGAATCCAAGAAGATGGAAACGTTTCGTCCCAAATTTAGTTCTCTTCGAGGTTTATTTCAAGCATGTTTTCGCGAATGTTTAGAAAGATACGAATATCCACGATTTA